TTCTTAATACTTTTTGTAATTTTTTACGATAATATTTTAGACCTTCAATTATTTACGTGTAAGAAAAAATATTAAATACCTGGTTTTGTTGCAAATCCAGATATAATATGATTTAAAAATTGTTTGTGTGCCCCTATTAAAAGTTCGATTAATTATATAAAAAAGCTTTGATGGTTTTTTGACAAAATTAACCAGTTTAGTTAACAAAGAAGTTTTGTATACAGTTTCCGAGGGTGTTGCATTTTTGACCTAATGATTTTTTAAATTTTGGTCTGACAAACGACAATGTTGTAACATGTTTTTTTATTATTAATATATTAAATATTTCTAATTCCTTTTACCCCCGTGCGATACGCCTATGATCGTGTATCGATAGCAAAATATTGTAGATACCCAGCTAAAATGGAATTCCCTAATTAGGAATGGTTTTTAATCCTTCCGTCATAATATTCATTATGAAAAGAGTATAATGCATTTTGGTATGCAGTTTCCTTTTCATAAATTGGTAATTTTCGTCGAAGGCCCGTTTCTTTTGACAGTAACTTAATCCCAAGTATTGTCTGTTTCTTATGTCCAATTGTTAATACTGATTATTTTACCTCAAAGTTTCCAATAGTCGTTAAGGCCTTACCTTCTGAGAAACATATACAACTGTCCTATCATTCTTGAGTGGGGGAATATTTTCTTCTTCCTGTTTCAGGGACAGTTGGTGAAATTTTGAGTGGAACCAAGTTACTTGTTGGTGGGCCGTTGTTGGGTTAAGGCCAATATCTCGTGTTACGCTTTGCTCACTTTATTTCTTATCGTATTATCTTTGTGAATTATTTTCTAAGTGTGTATACACTTTATATTTGAGTTTTCTTTCCTTAGACTATGGGATCAAAGAAATTGATTCATTAAAGTTCAGTAACAATTTCTCGGCCAATACTGATTTTAGCAGTCAGAAATTATCAGGTAACTTTACATTATTACATTATATTTCCTTATTGACTTATTTTACTTTGAAGACATACCAGAAATAATGCACTATGAGATCGAAGAACTTGATATATTGAAAAGTAGTGAAAATCGCATAGTCAATAATGATGCTATTCTTTCAAAGAAAGAAGAGCAAGAAACTTTACATATGCCAATCGTGTCTAATGCAAACCAGAACGTTACAGATAAATTGAAGTTTTGAAGTGATATTTTGTCTATTAACTTAATTTTGGTTTTAGATGTCCAGAATTTGGTTATAGAAAAACACAAAATTATTCATTTGTTTCATCTACCAACAGTTCATCTTCGTCATCGAACTATTCGTCAAGTTCTTCAACAAGTAGTAGTGAATTACTTAAAAGTAATTTTAAACTGTTTGTCCTTGTTTTAGTGTAGTGTTTTGTACAATTTTATGTTTTCATACATGTTTATAACATTCTACGCTTGCTGGATAGCTCATATTTGACGAAATGCCCCTGAATATGCTATTTTAAGCGAAAGTACTTGGACAAGATTTAATAAAACTTGTGCTCGATAATAGCCTTATTTTTCAAAGTTCATTTATTCGAGCATTCAACCTCATATCAATTAAAAAAAAAAAACGATTAAGAAATTAGCGCTTATGCAAAAAAATATAGCAAAACAGTTGAGAAATAGTGACAAAAGTTATGTTGACTGAATAAGTTATACAGAAAATCAAGCCCTATTTACGTTCACGATCAGTATGCTTGTATTATGAGATCAGCAAAAAAACTGGAAAAACATACAAAGTAAACGAACTTTGTTTTAAGGACATTGTGGATTTAAAAAAATTAACTTGTTTGTGAATATCCCTAAAAATGTAAAAAAACTGCGTCATTTAGAGTAATCAAATTAGAAAACAAAATTCAAACAAATTATTTTATAAAAATTCTTTTGAAGATACAGATTTCTGCCAAGCGGAAGTTATTAGATTTAGACAAATTGTTAATACAGAACAAATCCAATAAAAAACGCATATTCCACGATATTTTTTTTGATATCATTTTTTTTTTTGCATAGACTTTTAGTCATTCAGTCAGACTCAACATGGTAAAAAAATAGTTGTCTGAGTTTATATTAATAAATATACAAAACAAAGAACAGGTAAACAGGGTCACTCTCTTCTAAGGCTACGTTATTAACTAATGCATAATTATTTACATGGTTATTTTACTATCCTTTAAAAACATAACTAAGGAATCATACACTGCTCTCGAGTCTAGTGATAATAAGTACTGAAGGTTCCAAGGGGCTAATATATTGTATTTATGTAAGGTATTTATTAATCTGGCTGAAATTATAGTATTTCTGGGGCAACTGAAAAATATATGATCTAGGTTTCCCTCTTCTGTACTAAATTCACATCGATCATTATCTAAAACCTTGAGTTTAAATAAATGTTTAGGGTAACAAGCATGTCCAAATCTAAGTCTAATGATCGTGGTAACATATTTTCTGGGTACATTAAAAGACTTATATCAAGGTGTTTTAGGAATATCTGTTTGAAGAGAAGTGTATTTATTTGGGCTAACAATGGAATATTCCTTCCATGTATTATCCCACCTTTGCTATAATCTTAATTTTAAGGAATCCAGAAAGTCGCAAGCTGTGATTTTATACGAAGTTTCTCTACCAGATAAAATACTTTCCTTTGCTAATTGGTCCACATGTTCATTATTTTCCAAACCTATATGTGCTTTAATCCAAACAAAGACCACATTTTTGCCCCTTGTTACTAACTTTTGTTTGATATCCTTAATTTTGTAAATATAAGGGCAACTTACGTATTTGGCAATCCCGGTTTCCCAATAGAGGTCAAAACTGATAAAGAATCTGATAATATCACTATATGATCCGAGCTACTTTCTGTTGCATAAAGTAAGGCCTCATATATTGCAAGAGCTTCCGCTGTAAAAATAGAGGTCTGGGAGTTTAACTTAAATGTGTGTTCTATTCGTTCCAACGGGACAAAAAAAAGCGCATCCAGTGCCGTTTAATGATTTGGAAGCATCGGCATATATAACGACGGAGTTTTTGAATTCTGATAATATTGAGTGAATAATCTGTCTGTTTATGTGTATATTGTCACTATATTTTGGTACCATGATATCTGTAATTGAACAATATGTTGCATATGAAATGTTTTGAAGTGTATACGTAGCTTTATCTATCTCTTTTAATGCTTCCATATTATGTTGCAGAGCTTCGCAGACTAAAGGCGATTTCTTTTTTTCCCAGTATTTAGTAGACAAATAATAGCAATTCAGAGTAAAGATCTTTGTGTATAAGGATTGATTTTTTATATATGTCTTTACCAGAAATTTTTCGGACAAGAAGTTTCGTCTGATAATTAAAGTTGGTTCCAAGGCTTCCAAATACAAGGGTTGAATTGGTGTAGACTTCATAGCACCTAAACATGTACGTAAAGCTGAATTGTGTATTACGTTAATTTTATTTAGCAATACATTACTGGCTGATCCATAAAATATGCTTCCGTAATCAAAAATGGAGCGGATATACGCTCTGTAGAACAATAAATTTACATCTACATCAGCACCCCACCACGTTTTATTAATCGATTTAAGGAAATTTATTCCCTTGTTGCATTTGTTTAACATATCCTCAATATGATCCTTCCAAGTCAAACGTTTGTCAAGTGTCATCCCTAAATATTTGACCTTACTTTTTAGTGGATATTGATGCTCTCCTAATTTAATTATTTGATCGTTAGGTTTATAATGTCTAGTAAAAATGCAAACCTGAGATTTATTGCAAGATAATTCAAAAATTGTTTTTATGGTGCCATTTTTGAAGTAGCTGATAGATACTATCCAAGTTTTTAATTGCTTTTTCATATTCTTTGTGTTCTGTGTAAATGCAGAAATCATCTGCGTATTGTATGAGGTTGAAGGGTATGTTATTTATTTTAATATTGTACAAGTCCGCTACGTACATATTAAACAGGATAGGGCTCAATACAGAACCCTGAAGTAATCCTTTGTTTACGATTCTGGGACCTATGAGCATTTGTTCTTTTCTTAAATAAACTAATCTGTTTGAGTATAGATTAACAACACTAGCGGCAAATTGTGCTGCAATTTGAAATATTCTTGTCATTTTTTAGTGCTATTAGACACACGGAGTTATAAGCACCTTCTATACCAAGAAACAATGCTGGTAAGTAATTGTTTCGGGAATAATTGTTTTGAATGTCTACAAGTAGGGTAGCCAATGCATCCAAAGTACCAAAACCTTTCCTAAATCCGTATTGTTCTTTGGGTAGAAGGTTCTGCTCTAGTAACCACCATTCTAACACATTATAACACATTATAATTTAATATCATTAGTCGAAAAGAAAAAATGCGTTCCGCCATATTATTTTGATGTTTACAATAATTTGTAATGATTTAATTTAATTCTTTTTATGATTTTAGGTGTGTATTAAATAATTATCAATTAAATTAATAATGTTACAGATTATAAACATTAATTAATTTTTATTTCAAAACCGTTGCATGTATTTTTTTATAATAATAAATAAACAGTTTGAAAAATCACAATTATGTCGTTTAATTAAAGCCTACTTAATTAAATAAAAAGCAAAAAATTCTATTAATTTCTGATTAGGAAATAAAAAATGTAAGTCCTAACAAAACTTAAAACCCTTCTCCTGCAAAAGTAGTTTTTTCGAGTTGTAACCCTTTTCTTCCGAACGATCGAGATTATTTTTTCAAGGTGCAATTAAGACAGGAAATAACCAAGATTTTACAAAAACTCATAGTACAATTCTCAAAGTAAGTATATTAAAAATAAGTAAAATAATACAGGAAATAGAGAAAGAATAGAAAAACTTAAACGATGCAAGAAAAACAAAATAGAGACAGAAAACGAAAAAAGCAAAATGGTAAGCACACAATTTTTTCGTTTATTATGGTATTACACCTACATATTTTTTAATCTTAATCTTAAATATTTGTTCATTATTTCTAATTTATACTTACTGCCTTCACTGAGGGCACTTCATGAGTTTTATAAGTCGGTGCACAATAATAATTATTTACAAAACAAAACAACACGATGAAATACAACAAACTCATCTTGATCTAGTATGTAACCAGCTCAAACGAACAATATTAGCATGTGACACTGATAGAAGACTACTACCGTATTGTTTAATTGTATTGTTTATTGTTTTCTTTTTAATTTCTTAGTAGTAACCTTATGACACAGCGGAATGATAATTCTAAGATAAGTCGGCATTGTGGTCATTTTAGTTAGAAATCTCGGAATCCCGGCTTGTATCGACGATTTTTGCTTGAGTTTGTAAAGGCCAACTGATCTTGTTTTTTTATGTTAATCATATATGCTAATGTGTCATTCGTGCGATGTATATTTGTAGGCAAAAGTTTTGCTTTAGAACGCAAGTAAATAAATGTAACTTATGTAACTAAGCAAATTTATGGATTTTGAATTGTTTTTTGGATTGAATTGGACTACAATGGTTCAAATAGCTTACCTTAGCTCAATCTTACAGGCTCTGTTTTCGTAGTCCAGTATCTCTGCTGTTATATTTGCAAGCAACACGAACATAGGGAATAATAAAACAAATAAATATCCAAAATAAATTTTATTAATACAGGGTGTTTCAAAAAGGTATGTCATAAATTAAATCACGCATTCAGGGACCAAAAATGAATTGATTGAATCCAACCTACCTCATTACAAAAGTGTACACAAAAATTTTGAATTTACAAAATAAAGATTGTTTTTTTGCATTACAGTGGAACCTCGATTATCCGTCTCTCTATTAACCGTCACCTCTGTTAACCGTCAGCGTCCATTCATAGAGCAAAAAGTATGATGTTCCGAGAACAACAATCAATAATTTAAAGACAAGTACTGATGGAATTGAAAAGTATACTCCGCAAATGGAATCGTTGGATGGCCGGATGAAACATAGTTAGACAATGAAAAAAAGCCACAAATGAATCACTCGACAAGGCACGACACGACACTCTGTAGTTGTGGTTCGTTCAAAAATGAAGCAAATGTGTTCCTTTGTCTGGACCAATTGTTGCCGAAACAACGTTGTTTTTCAACATGAAATTGAATGGCGATTCTTCATTCAAAGGAAGTAGCGGTTGGTTAAAAAAGTTCAAAAATCGCCACGGTATACGGAAACTGAAAATCTAAAATGAAAAATGGAGCGCCCCAAGTATTGAAGTCGTTGACGAATATAAAAGAAAGTTTTAAGTTATGATCGATGAATATGGTTTGATACGTGATCAAGTGTCCAAAGCATTGTCAACGAAAACACTCGCTGCAGTGTCTGCAAAGATAAATAAACTAGGATTTAAAATGCAAAAGCAACTAATCACAGTAGTGATATGTTCAAATGCAAGTGGTGATCATCGCCTTCCTATATTATTGATTGGTACAGCAAAAAAAGCACGATGTTTCAACAGCAAAAAACAAAGGGCATAAATATTAACGCGCTTCCCGTTAACTACTACGCATAACATAATACCAAAACCAAAATTTGTTTATCTATTTTTCTAATGTCTTGTTTTTTAAGTTTTAATACTATACGTTTGACAATACTTGCAACCAATAAATTTACTACCAAAGGCGATTCTTACTTTGGACAATGCACCTGCCCACCCTGAAGCCAATATGCTACGAAATGACGATGAAAATATCACGTTCTCTTTTCTGCCTGCGAATACATCATTGAAACAGCCAATGGATCAATCGGTCATTAAAACATTCAAAGGAAGATACAGAAAAAAATGTATTCAAAACCTAGCTATGGAAGAGGAATATTCCATGCCAGAATACTGGAAAGCATACAATTTAAAACACGCAGTCGATAATGCTGTGGATGCTTGGGCTGATGTTTGGGAAGTAACGCTGAAAAGAGCGTGGAATAAATTATGGGCTGAATCAACTCAAGATGAAAATGCCCCTGTGACAGCTGAGCGTGACATGGTAACAAATGAAGTTATGACTACATCAACTGTTTTGTATTCGTTGCCTAACGATGACAGAAACGAATGGTTAATTGGTGATGAAGAAGCACACGGCTATCGATTGTTGACAGATGATTAAATCGTTGAAATGGCAACAGAGGCGGACGAAACTGATTCAGAAGTTGACAGAGACTTTAATGGTGGCTATGTTGATGATGCTATTGCAACTCACAAAGATTTGCGTAAAGAAGCTAGAGAAGCTGTATCACATATACAACAATTCATCAGTGGTCTTCTCGGCAAGAAGAAGCAAATAAGGTAGATTTGATGATTTTACGTCGATTAAGAACTTTAGACGATTATATCGAACCAAAGTGCGCCAAAGCTTGGGGGTGGTTGCCACCCCATCTCGGGGGTAAAAATTATTTTTTTTACGTTTTAACCACAGGTTTCGATTAAAAAAGTAATTCTAAATAAAAAATGTTTTATAAATTTTTTTCTCCACCCAGATGAGATTCGAACTCACGACCTTTAGGTTTAAAGGTAGGCGCTCTTACCACTGAGCCACAGAGGGGGTGTTAATTAAATATGAAATAAAAAAAAATACTAGACCTAAATCAGTGAGTACGTAAAATTTACGTATAGTTAGGTACATTTACGTATATTAAAAAAACGTTAGTATTCTACGGTTAAGAAACCATTGTAAAATTATCGCTAGCTTTCACCGAGCGATAGTACCAGAGAAAGAAGAAGAAGAAGAATTAACTGGTATTGATAATCTATTTACTAGCTTTATTAGCGTTTTAAAAAACCTAAAAAGCAGTATTTATGCCTATGGGTGTAGTATAAACTACTAAAATTTTAATTTTTAGATATCGTTTAATAAAATATTTTTTTATTGATCTACTAATTTTTGACGCAGTTTCAATAATGTATTATAATTAAATACTTTTGAGAACCAACATACAAAACTATAAAATACACCGTTTTAGATTTCAAGATCAGGATCTTTTTGTGTTAAATCCGTAAAATTTTGTAATAAAAGTTATTACATTCCAAATTCCAAATTTTATGACGTGGAGTATGAATGTTCGTCACAAAAATCCCATAATTTTAACAAATAATAATATTACAGAAAATTTCAATTTTGAACAAAATGTGTTTTATTTTTAAATGCGCGTATGATCTCCTTTATATATGTTCCGAAGTTAAATATCCGAGACAAAAATAAGACAAAAAAACGAATGCAGGTCAATGTAAACAGTATTTAAAATTTGATGTGTACACGATATTTGTTTGTGTTTTATTGCATTAGAATATTTTGGAGAATATTTTAACGCAAAATTAGGACAAATCAACTACAGATGGCCACTAGGGATATACAGGCTGTTTCAAAAAGGTGTGTTATAAATTAAATCACCCATTACGTGGACAAAAATAAATTGATTGAATTTATTTACAACTGAGGCGTTCAGCGCCAAAGTGACAAGCGACAAAAAATATTAAATTGTCTTTTCTGTTCTATTGGCTTCTGTGAGAGTTAAATTATGATGCCAAAGTGGTGTAAACGACAATTTAAAGCGAAAATATTATAAGTTTAACCCTGGAATATCACACCTATTTTTTTTTTGACATACACCTCACATATGGGTATCAGATACCCATTGATTTTTTGTGAAGAAATAAATAAAAAAGTAAATATTTTATGATTTCCAGGGACTGTCTAGTCACTATTGAATAGACAAGAATCATTAAATCAATCATTTTATTTTCTCTCTCTTAATTGTAGTAATACCAAAGAAAAAATATTAAAAATGTTTAAAAATATTTAACAAACATTTTCTAAAAATCCAGAAACCTAATTCAAAATATTTTACCTTAATATAACAACAAAATGGTCTTTCTAACTAAAATCTAACATCTTTTGATTATAGAACTCATAGTCATTCTTAGCCAGGTATTTCAATTTCACTCATTTTGGTGACTGCATTCACAACACAGTTTAGCTCTATGCTCCATGCAGTATGCTTTATGGCAAGCCGAGCATGCATGCTTCGTTTTTCTATCTTTTCCTTTGCAGAGATAACACCTAGTTTGCTTTACTAAACTTGTGGGATGCTGTGTTGGAAGGTCTTCAACTTGGAGAATGCCACAAATTGATTGCCTGAGTGATTTCGGTAAAGAAGGTATTTGAAGTCTCTCTCGCATTAGTGGTTCAATTAAAGCCATTCGCAAAGACTTCAGAAAAGATTTTCTATTATTAGATGCAGTTTCTTTCCAATGGGTATTTGCGAGAGAAAATAGCACCATTGCATTTATGCCACTTGCATCAAGCATGTTAAAAAAATTCTTAGTGGCCATCGTCTGCATTTTCGTGATGTAGTATAAGAATGGCATAATTGATCAAACGTATCTGTACCTCCTTTTGATTCATTATAGGTGTGTATAAGGTTTGGTTTTTCTGTATCAGCATTTAATGAATTATCATAATGTAATGTTGACAGCAAGAGAACCACTTTTTTGGCATTTGGAGTGTATGAGATGATAGTTTTATTTTCGTAGAATGCAAATAATGATGTACCTACTTCTTTTTTACTGAGAAAAGTCGGTGGAATTTCTCGTTTATTTTTTCTTAGTGTACCCAAGATAGTTAGTTTGAATTGTCTCATCATTTCATCAGCAAGAGGTATTGAAGTAAACCAATTATCTACTGTTATATTTATGTTGGTTCCATGTATTGGTTCCGACAATTTCCGAACGTAAAAAGCTGGTACTGACTCCTTATCCTGTGTTTGAACTTTTCCAATATATGGAATAGCGTTAACCATATAAAATGTTTTAGAGTCATTCATCATCATTATCTTTATTCCATATTTGTCGGGCTTACTACTCATATAGATTTTAATTGGGCATTTTCCCCTAAATCCTACGAGCTGTTCATCGATAGTACAATGTTGAAAAGGGGTGTAGTATGATGTACAGTTGCTTATAAAGATTTCCCATAATTCGCGTATGGGTGCAAATTTATCCGCTGCTTTTCTTGTTGCTCTTGTATTTTTATCATCAAACCTTAGGCATACAGCTAGAAATGCAAACCTCTGCTGCGACATCGTAGCACGAAATATTCC